CAAAATCAACTTTGCAACATTCCCATGTACTTTCGTTGTTTGGCACAGACAACATTTAAAGGAAATTCATAGTTACCACAATGAAGGGAAACAATATTTCGACGAAACCTGGGCTAATCAAGGGTACACTGTTCCAAAAGTTTGGCAAGATTTAGAAATTAAAAATCATAGAAATGCTTTCTTACAAAGGCAATCAACGGAATTAAAATCGCCCTGGGTAAAAGACGTAGTTTAATAATACGCATATTGGCAGTGATACTGGGTTTGTTGAAGATGGGCCTAATATTTTTGAAGCACGAAATTATAAAAAACAATACATACATATATAATAATGACGTTTATATCATATATTATTTTCTAGTCAAAATTATCCAAAGCTATCCGCAAACTAGAACAAATTTAAATAACCGCATGTCTCAATATAACAGGGTAGCTATTCTTGAATTCGAGGGAATAGAAACCGGTTTTGCCTCTTTATCTGCAACGCGCAAAATTTATATTTTTGTCTCATTTTTCCCTCAAAATTTCTACTCCCTGAAATTCAAGAATAGATACCCAGGGGCCATGGAAACCACAGTGGCCAGAGTCACGGAAGTCATTCTTAGTCTCACTCCCCTTGATATGTACATCAAGAAGGTTCCTCTGATAACAATGACACGCTTCCGTACGGTTGGAATAGAATCTGATGTAAAATCTGATCAGGCGCGACTTCACTTTTGGCAGGAGACGCTCGACAGGCTGCCTCTGCTTCAATCGAACATGGACACCATCTCACCGAGATATATCTTCTATAAGTCATATAAAGTTATAACAGAACAAATAGAAGAGCCGGAAGTGGCAGGTACGATTCACATCTACACCGACGGTTCTAAAACAAAACAGGATGTTGAATATACTCCAGATCCTTAAACCTAAACAAAAAATCTGATGTGTCCAACGCATGACTTTCCTATCTAGTTATTATAGGCTTTTTCAGGTTATTTTGTTCAACCTATTGCAACACCTCTATAAATGTTTACGAGGATAAACTAACTAGATATTCATTGAAAGTGAAAATACGAAAATACTGAAAAATTTTAATATAGCACTTTTCCTACAATTTTTTCATTACGGTCCATTTTATAAAAATCATGTTTAAACAAAAATTATAAAGATCGGTATCGCAAACAACTTTTAGTTCAACAATTTTCTTAAAAATCAGAATTTTGCACATTTTGTCAAATTTCTCGAATACGGTTCAGGAAAATTTGGCATAAAACAAAAATTATAGATAATAATATTAGTAGTAACTTTTATTTGAAGAATTTTTTTCTCCAAACATAAATAACAGATATATTCCATAAAATATAAAAACGGCCTCACATAAAGTATCCCCGCCAGATGTTCAGACTTTGTCCAAAATCTAATCATTTTACGTCAGGCCGAAATAAAACTTAAGTTTAAAATTTAATATTTTTTTTTCTTTATCCGTTTTTGAGTTTTCTTCAAAAATTCAAAATTTACACATTTTCTCAAATATCTCGAATACGGTCCATTTTAGAAATATTATGTATAGGATAAAAATTATAGAGAAATATATTTCAAACAACTTTTATTTGAACAATTTTTACAAAAAATTATTTTTTTACATTTTATCAAATTTCTCGAATACGGACCATTTTAGGAAAATTTTGTATATAACAAAAATTATAGATATTAGGAGTAACTTTTATTTGAAGAATTTTCTTCTCCAAATGTAAATAACAGATATATTCCATAAAATATAAAAATGACCACCTATAAAGTACCCTCCAGATGTTCCGACTCTGCCCAAAATCTAATCAGTTCATTGGACGCTGGAACAAAGCTTAAGTTTAAAATTTGGCGTTTTTCTGTGTATCGGTTCATGAGTTATGCCACACACACGCACATAGAATCATCGCGAAAAGTCAAAACGGATTCAGGGAACCTCAAAACGTAAAAATACGTCGAAAACTCGAGGTCGAAAAAAATCATGATTCCTATACTTTCCTTATATCTGTATACAGACAGGAAAGTAAAAATGGGCTGTGAACTCATGGGGATTCTCATAGCAGCAAAATAAATCACCAGAAATAATATCACTGGAAGGAATGTGCTCATATATACAGATAGCAGAGAAGCACTACCCACCCTGGATCGAGCACGAATTTACTCAGGGTTAGTACTAGAATGTCACGAAGCTTTGGCCGAAATATCCATCAACAATAAACTTAAGATGGATCAAAGGTCTTACCGATTCACTAGCCAAGAAGGCAGCCAACTAAATACTTTTTGGACCTGGCGATATTACCGACCTTAAAAAAATTGAAAATAATTTTTGTATTAATTTAAAATGCATAGTTAACTACAAAAGTAGTTGTAGTTATATTCGATTAAATTTTTTCTCTTTTCTCAAAATAGTTACATGTTCCCATCATATTCATTATATTACCTAGCAGTGACGTATGTCAACATTCCATATTCCTGACATTTTTTACTGGCTATAATTGATGGATTCAACATGTCGGAATTTTACAACTCTTCTTCTTAGTACCTAACTGATCAGAGCGGCAAATGTGTCGGCGATTTGCAAATATGGTCCCCGCATACACCAGGGTGATGGGTATTATTCCTACACTGAAACAAGGACAAAATACACTTACGACAGACAACGAGAAAGCTCAAGCCTTCGGCGAATACTTTCAAGCAAATTTTAGAAATGATCAAATAAATAATAACCAACAGAATATTATCGAGCAAATGGTAAATGAATTAGGGGCGATGGATCCGGTACATGTTCCACACTCATTCTACACCTCTCCTAAAGAGATCGGGGAAACAATTAAGTTTCTCAAAAACAGGAAAGCTCCGGGCCCGGATGACATTAGCAATATACTAATTAAAAATTTACCTAAAAAGGGGGTTGTACAACTAAACTACATAATAAATGCAATTTTCAGGCTGCAATATTACCCTAGCTGCCTGAAGATTGCAAATATTATACCCATAGCAAAAGCGGGTAAAAATAGGCCCATCTCGCTGTTAAATACAATTTCAAAAATAGTTGACAAAATCATTTTAAATAGACTTAACAAAATAGAAGAACAACTACGACTTATCCCACAGGAACAGTACGGGTTCAGAAGTGGACACAGCACCGTTGCACAGATCATCCGGATCGTACATAGTGCCAAAGAGGCGACAAACATCAATAAACAGACGGTGCTGGTGGCGCTTGATAGCGAAAAAGCTTTTGACTCCGTCTGGACCTGTGGTTTAATTCATAAAATGCTTGTGAATGATTTTCCCGTTCACGTTGTAAAAATAATACACTCTTACATAACTAACAGACGTTTCAATATCAAAATAAACAACACAACTACAGGACCCTACTCAGCACAGGCGGGAGTACCCCAGGGCTCAGTATTGTCGCCTCACTTGTACTCGATTATGACCCATGACATTCCCATGGGACATAATGGGGTACAAACGGCACTATACGCCGACGACATCTGTTTGTTTAAAAGCAATCACTCTGCCGAAAGCGCAACAAGAACCCTGGACTTCCATATAAACAGGAGGTTGATACCCTATCTAACTAAAAACAAAATGAGAATCAACCCTGCAAAAACTGAGAGTATGCTCATTACTAAAAGAAGATCGAGGGGTATCCGTAACCCCATAAAAATTCAAAATATACACACAGGGGTCAGGATGAAATATCTGGGTTTTCAGTTAGATAGGGGATTGACATTTGATCTCCACATAAAAGACAGGGTGGCAAAAAACCACGTCGCCATTAAGACACTCTACCCTATATTAAATAGGAGGAGCAAGGTCACCCTGTCAAACAAACTACTAATATTCAAAACTATCTTGAGACCAATCCTGACATGGATGTCCGGTGTTTTGCTCTATGGCAAATACGCATTTCACCAAACTACAAGTAGCTCAAAATAGATGTCTTCGGCTAGCTTTGGGATACGATCGCTATGCCAGAATAGCCGACATGCACAGACAGACAGATACTCCACTCATCAAAGACTATATACTTGATGCAGCCGAAAAATTCTACAAGCGGTGCCTTCCCGATAATGTGAGAGATATCTTTAGCATATATCGGGGAGACAACGTGCGTAGAAAACACGGCTGCATCCATGCTAAACTCGACATCTATCAAAACAGACAATAACATCCTCCTCAACGCTCACAGACATACTAAACAATATCTCGCACGGACTAGCCATTTACACAAAGTGGTCGTACGGCGGACTGATCGCTGGATCGGCCATCGGGGCAACAAACGCGAAACTTTACATTCGCGAGTGTTGCTTGGATGGTAGATACAAAGACCACTCTGCCTGTGGGATATACTAAAAAACCTAAGACTTTACTAACGTACATACAAGGACAACCCTGTTTTTTCTAGCTTTTTCAGGGGACAAAAAACAACTAAAACGCGACAAATCCCTACCCATTTCCCAATGCCGATTCCAAAAAGAACCTAAATTCCTCAATAATACCGAAACGGTAAGGAGTGAGGGCTGAAATATTTCCAATAGAAATCAAAAATGATTATTATAGGTGGACATGTCCTCCTCGGTCCCCTGGACCCGCACGAAAGGATATTATCTCGGTAGTGTTGTATATACTAATTAGTTTTGACATGTAGATAAATTTTTAATATGTAAATAAAATCTTCTAATGTAATGTAATGGTATTATTGCAGAAACTTTTGTAAGAAAATAGTACCAAACACCTTTTATAGGATCCGAGCTGTTTCTACAGAATCAGCAATAGCTATGAGATATTAAAAGAGTAAGGCAGTAAAACAACAGACAATTATTGGAGATATTTCTTGGCCCTTTAGACAAGGGTAATACTGAGAGCGTACCGAATAGATTCTTATACTCTTCAATACAAATATATTCATTTTTGTAACCGAAGACCAAAAAAATATATATATAAGAAATGTTTTGTGCAAAGGATTAAATAAAATTAATTTACAATTTCATTTATTTATTAAGATAAAAACAATATAATTTTATAATGTTATATGAGTTAAACAATTTCCTTAATTAAACCACCGTTTAAAAAAATATTATGCATGAATAATACCACCTTAAGGTGTATTTATTATGTCACGTAGAAGCAAGGTATTCTATTAATTAAAACGTGTCCACACGCAGAAGAAAATATTTTACATATTTATTTGTGGTTTATTAAAAAAATTGCTTTTCCAATAAAAAATACAATATATGAAAACTTACGAATTATATATTTTAAACAAACTTATACCGCATATCCGTTTTTTCGGGGGTTTTTTAACTTCAAACAATTTTGGTTTTACAATTTAATTATCTTAGCAATCGCTACTAAGATTTAAAAAAAGAAACATCAAATAAAACTAGAATAGTGATGGAAGATGAAAATTGGTAAAAAAAAAATTAATTATCAATAAAAACAAAGAGTTTGAGAACTTTTGACACCCCCGAGAATAAAATGTTACACACTTTTATAATCATTACTGAAATTAGTTACCTTTCTTGTATTTTAGTGCTACAATTTCTAAGAGGAAGTCTTTGTGTATAATAGAACACGATATCCCTTCATGCTAGTATTTGGTATACAGTCTTGTTATCAACACTAAACATTTGTGTTTAAGTGACATTGTTATTTGGCATATTAATAGATAAGGCACTAGATGGATGGACTACTTAAACAGTTACAAGTCACCAAACACCATAAACAATGGATAATGTTAATGGAGACCATGTCCAGTAGTGGACAATACTGGTTGACCAATGATGATGACGACGATTCTGTTAAATATAAATTCAACGATTTACTTACATACTTGTGTTTATTAAGTGATTGTCAACCGTTATCACTTGCCATATTCACAGTAAAGTCACTAGCTGAGCGGCTAAATGTCGCCCAACACCATGATCAACGGAAGACGTTAAGGAAGAACTATATCTAGCTTATCGGTGATTCCGTCAAATGTCAATTCAACGGTTTACCTATGGGTTTACATTTTTAAAAATTATGTGACCTCCAGCTGCCTGCGTTGAAAACTATTGTTTAAATGCAGACGAAACAAGATAGACACAGTAATCCATAGCTCCTTGTACACCTCATATTTTAGTAGCGCAGGCAAATAATCGTCATTTACCGTAAATACAAATTTTTTTCTGACAAGTTCCTTACCAAACGTTCTAAAATAAATTGTGTATTACAAGCGAAAAATACCACATTTTCCTCCACAAACCTTTCAATCGACCTAACAAGGGAGAAAAGTTTGTAAACGGAGGAAATGTCTAATAGCGTTTTAGATTCTGTTGCTTGTGCTCTTGCACGGAGCCAGTTGCACTGAAATTACGTCAAAATTTGCATTCGGCTCTCTCCCCACCTTAATATAATACATTCTGAATGTTGACCGGCCCGAAAATAAATTATTATGTTGATGTTGACCAGTGACGCATCCAGAGTATAAGTCTAGAGGGGGTAGTGGTAATAAAGTTTAAGTCTGAGGGGTAGTGGTAATATTTGAGACTTTATTTTTGATAATAATTCATTTTAGTACCTATTAAAAAGTTAGGTTTAAAATTCTTGAGGGGAAGGATAATACCTTCCCCCCGTATATGCGCCCCTGATGTTATGTCTTATAAGTCGACTTATACTGATTTTCCCAACAAAAAACTGTTTTTTTATAATTTATATTATAAAGTCCAAGTTCAATAGCGACCCTAATAGAAAGTATTGACTTATCCCACGTTTTTCACTAAGTATAGATGACTGAAACTAATTTACCCAAAATTTTGACTTATACTCCTTTGCCCACACACGATAGAATTATTAATGCAATAAGATTGTTTCACATAGAGGTATTTTTAAAGAGGCTTCTTATTCATTAGGCAATAAAGATATTGACCATGATAGCTACTTAGAGATTTTAATATTGATGTCAAAATTTGTTATTTTAAAAGACTATTTGGGTAATTAAAGGAGGACAACATAAAAAAATTAATGAAAGGGTGTAAAACAAAACGAAAAGAATGTTCTCAATTGAAATAATGCAGGACATAACAGTTTAATGTTTATTCTGTTATTTTAGATTTATATCGAATTAAAAATTGATTTCAGAAACAAGGCCTGTCTGTAGGGGTGTAGGAGTATTAGAGTAGTAATACTCCTGCACTATGGAGTATTAGACTACTAGTACAATCCATAACCTACATAGAACACGAGGCTAATGACTTTAGTTGTTGAAGCCAAAGACACAAAAAAAATGATTCACATATTTTAACAAATGCTCTCTCAAAATTATTCACCGTTGCATTTTATACCTTAGCTGTTATTTTTAGGATTAATTTATTTCCATTAAAAGTTTTAAAAATTGTAGATATTTTGTATTTCTCTTTACAAATGTTAATAATTTAAGCTAGACAGTTGGACCGAGCTGGTACTAATAGTTTCCCGAGCCAGATATATTTCCCCGTCAACTTAGGATCGAAAACGAAACTGTGCAAGACGAGCAGTGGAATCGAAAAGGCTATAAAATCAATGGCTTTGAAGCACTTCTTTACAGATAAACCCAACCAATAACAATTAAAAAAAGTGCGGGATATAAATATAATGATTAATGTTTACCCAACAATCTGCCCAAAAGAGTGTTTATTTTTTTTAACAATAGGTATGCTTCTATGCTTGCAATAGTCAGCAAACCATTTAAAAACGGTCATTTGTGCACAATCACGTTTTGAACAGCTTGGAAACCATCACTAAAATGGTGCTGCAGATACGTGACATTCTGTATCAAGGATATAACGTTTTGGAAAATATCTGGAAATCTGTAGAATAGACATCAAACTGTCTCCGACTCAGTCCGAACACGCTTAATCCTGAATATCAGAAAGTAATTAATACACAAACAAACCTAATACACTGAAGATCATTATGATCTCAGACACTCTTAATAAAAAGCAACCTTAAAATAATGATGAATAATATTTCTCAAGTAACTACTTAAAATATTTGTTTAAGAAATATGTTCTATAAAATTTGGGAATTAAAAGATTATACCTAGATAAACATTTTTAAAAACAACAACTTTGAATCAGTAGACCTACCATCTATACTGTAATATTATTCAGTGATTTTTCATAAATTTCAAACTTTCATAAACAACCATCTTAAAATAGTAAATAATTAAAACGTTGACATGAATGAAAACCAATATAAAAAAACAATATATTATGGTTCTTACTGTATTGTCGATGTTTCCCAAACTATGTAATGTTATTCTTTGCAAATATTAAGCAGAAGAAAGAAATTATTTAAGAAGATGACGAAGAAGATGAAGAGCTGTCAGAAGAATCAGAATCATTGGACTTCTTCTTTGAGCTCTTATTTTTCTTGTCTTCTTTTTTCTCGTTCTTGTTTCGAGTCTTTTGGATACCACCTCTTCCTCTGGTGTTAGCTTTTGCAGCGCCTCTACTTTGATTGTTGCCTAGAGAAAAAGAAAATTAATTCAATTTTGAAAATATATAATATATTCCCCCTAAAGTAAAAACAAACCAAAGAATAATCATTAATGAATTTGGCTATCGAAGCACATGGCTGCAAAACGCGAACTCATAGATTTGAAGTTACTCAGATTCTGACTCTCGTCAGCACACACTTATTCTCGTCCCATTCCAGCTCTCTTTAATTCTCCTTAAATCCACCCTTGTGACATCACATAGGAGGACGCCAATCTTTGATTGCACTAGAATACATTTCATTTATTAGTTCACCAGTGTTAAGTTTTCGAGTACAGTCTGCCATAAACGTGAAATGACAAAGGATTTTAAAAATTTTATTTAGGTACAATCAGAGATTGACGTCCTACTATACGATCAGGGGAGGTTTTTCCATTGGTCCATTTGTGCAGTGAACACCCAGTTACATTTCATAAAAACACATTATTTTAAAATAAATAACATAAAAATATAAATTCAATTTTAATAATGTTATTGTTTTCATACTTGTTATTCTCTATTTTTTTGTACGCCACTGCGCTCTAGCTAATCGCATCTCTTTGGCTCATTTTTCTGAGCGGGCCCGCAGGAGTGAGATGCTTTCCCTAAAGCCTCTAGCTAAAGGAGATGTCAACACGTTAACAGATAGATAAAACGAACAACGACATACTTAAAATCACTAAAATCATCTTATTTTACGCTATGCACGTAGTAACGTCACAAAGTAGGGCGGAGCCTGCGAAACTTTCAAATCATAGATATAGAATAAAGAGATACAATGACGGTACTGGAAGTGTCTGCACGTTTGCATTATCCTTTTACGACATGTCAAACTCGAGCTAGTCAATTTTGGTGATAATAAATGCCATTTTTTTAAAATAGCGTGATTTAAATGATATAAAAACATTTTCATTCCGTCAGTCTTTAAATATAAAATGTTTAACTTAAAATTAATCAAAATATGACTCAAAGTGCCTCCACTTGTCACATGTCATATCACAAAATAGTGTTCATATGTCTCTACCTACTTCATTCTCTATCTTCAATCTCCAACCAAGCGTCAAATTCTAAAAAATCCAACATAATATAAGAATTTTAATTGTGTATTGAATTTATTAAAAATTAAGTTTTAATATAACTGCGACTTTAATAGATTGGAAGTATGTGTGTCAATTCAACGATTGTTCCCGAAAAACTTCTTTAAGGTAAGGTAAATAAAACTTTTACGACTGTAATTATTTGTTTTATATTTTGTTTCAGTGTTTAAGACCATTCTAAGACTAATTTAAAATGTTAATATATTTTGTGCCAAACTGTAAATACTATGAAGTAAGAAGTAAGCAAAAAATTTGTAAATGTTTTGTGTTTTCCACAAAACCCGCTGAAAGGAAAAATTTGATTATTCTGATAAGGTATAACTACTTCATTATGGAAATGTACCCTAAACGTTGAATAAAGATAAAGAGACAAATGGTTTTTCACTTCAAAAGTGTGAATCGGAAAATGGATCAACCAGTTGAATTTAATATAATGAGAAAATTTACCTAAAAAAATGGTACGTACATTTAAATAGTTTGTATGAAGTTATGTATGCCTGTAATTATCAATCATGTTATCACCTAGCCTACATTGTGTGTTGCATACAAACCTGAAATCTTTTATTTTAATGACTTTTTTTATTGTCTTGTTTAGATAATTTAGTATTTTCAAAAATATTAGGTGTATTGGTAATTTGGATCCTTGCAGGTATTAAATAAAAATAAGGCTGTTGGTAAATTAGTTTACAGTTTGTAATAAAGTATGACTCGAAAACAATAAGTATCAAATATTAGTCACATCCCACATATCTATATGCTCTGGGTAATCAATCCTATAAGTACATATTAAAACATTAATACTATCTACAATTAAACAATAATTTGAAAATAAAGCTGAAGACAAAATTACTATTATTCTATTATTTATTAAAACACATTATTTTTTAGTATACATGGACATGCAAAAGTCAGCAATGAGGGTAGGACAATAGCTAGAGCAAGAATACTTTGGAATGTGCTATGAAATATACATAGAAAGGGTCATATGGAGAATTAAGTGTGATAACAGTTTACAATGTGTACCTCACTATTATAGTTCACAGATTTCTGTAAATTTGATAAAAGAAGTTGAATATTATTGTTGACCTCTTTAAACTGTTTATTTTACCTTACACATTTTTTTCTACCATTCACACAGTAGTCTGCGAAGAGTGTTATAGGTTTACTTTGTCCTTCTGTCCGATGTCACGTTTTTTGTCTGCATGATAAGGCAAAAACGAAAAGTGATATCAACTTGAAAATTTTAAGCAAAAATCAAGGGGACAAAGCCTATTGATTTTGAACAAATTTGATTAAAAATAGGGGGTTAAGATGGGTTGAAATTAAAAAAATCCTAAATTAAAAATGAAAAGCGATATTAACGTAAAATTTTTAGTAAAAATGAACCTCTACAAGAAGATAAAGCCTGTTGATATTGAAAAAAAATCTGAATATATTGGAGAGTTAAGGAGGGTTAAAATATTTAAAAAAAAAATCAAAAATGAAAAGCGATATTAACATGAAATTTTTAGTAAAAATCAAGCTCTATAAGGAGATGAGGCCTATTGATTGCAAAAACAATCTGGTTGAAAATGGGAATTAAGGGGGTCTGTTAAACTGCGAAGAGTATCATTTAGAATGCCACACATTATATATCTTTATTCTAGTTTGTATCTGTGTAATATTATATATTTATTGTGATGGGACTGATCTTATAAAATAAACATTTAAAACATTTTAGTTCTTATTTTATTTTAAAAAATATTTTATTTGACATGTGTGACAAATTGTGAAAATGATTAAATTAACAATAAAAACAAATGGTAGATAAAGTTTCATATAATAATATTTTTTACACAAGCTTTCTACATAACCTGATATATATTTTAAAAAATAATCTTAAATTATGAAGAAAAATAAGTTGACTAACTAATTATGTTTATAGATGGTTTTCAATGTATTAAAAACAAAACAAATATTACAATAACTAAAATATTCATTTATTAATAGTTGTAGTGCTTGAATCAGTATGATGTTGATAATAACTACACTTAATACAAACTCAAATAATAAAAAAACAGTGATATTGGCTCTTGTACAAAGTTTTGAACTGAACTTACAAATGATAAAATTATATGAAAAAGTGAACACCCATTTTAAATTACCGAGCCGTCACTGTATACGATGTCACAAGGGCGGTTCTAAGAACTGAGAGAGCTGTGATGGGATCAGAATTTATGTGTGCCGACGAGAGTCGGAATTTTATTGACTTCAAATTTACGACCTCTACTGTTGCAACAATGTGCTTCCATAGACCAATTGGTAGAGGCATCGACTGCTTTAATCGGAATGTTCCAGGTACGATCACTGGTCGATGCATTCATTTTTTTTTAATATTTTCTTAGGGGAAATTGGGGATAAAATATATTTTTATAATTCTAAAGTTGCATTTAGGTTTTCGAATCTCTGATAATTCTCTCACTTCCCTTTCCTTTATCAGAAAATGTATTTATTAATATACCTGGGTTGGAGGATAGCTGAATGAAATGATGTGAAGATCAAACAGGTGGGTAAGTGTGAAAAAAAAGTTTATACAATATTAAAAAGAAATATTAAGAAGAAATTTATTGACACTATTCCTTTAGCGAAAGGTACACAGGAGCGAGTCTTAATTTTGTCTTTGAAGTTTGAGGTTGTGTATTTTATATAAAAAATACCGCTGTACTTTTTATAATGGAATAGAGTCTATTATATGATTATATTTCTTACCTCTGTAATTAGAATTCCCTCTTTGATTACCGCCTCCTCCTCCAGAATTTTGTCTATTGACGCCATGGTGATAATCATACGGATTCTGAGGGTTAGGATAACCCTGAGGATTTGGTTGTGGGCCATGTGCTCCGCCAGGGGGTGGATAGAAATTGGGAGGATATTGTGGAAAATTGGGATGTGGTGGATAATTAGGGTAAGCTGCATTTGGTGTATATGGATGCTGTTGTTGTTGTGGTTGTTGTTGTTTTGAAGTCGATTCAGAGGGTTTTTTGACAGTTATGTTGATGTCCAGGTCACGCAAATCTGGAACTGAAAAAATGATTCTAAATGAATGCTAACAATTTATAGAAAAAGTTCAATACATATTTCTTCTACACTCACATGTAAATTATCTACTTTATGTAGAGATGGATTGATACATATATTTAATACGTAGGTACAAAATATTTATAGCATGTCAGAAAATTTAAAATTATTAATTACAAGTAACAATACAAAATTTTGAAACAGTTAAGTTTTAAAAAAAAAGGATTATTTAATAAAGGAATATGGATACCTAACTAACTCCTTAGATATATATTTATATTAGCTCCTGTTAGTCCTGTTACAGAACGATTTTTGACGTTATTCTTCAGGGTAGAAACTATTTCTACATGATATTTGCTGTCATAGGGTTCTAATGGATTTTGAGATATTTTTTCTGAAAGAATAGGAAAATGTTTGGCATCGAGGTTAATTAGGTTTTTTTCCCAAAACTCCAGCTTTTTGATAAATGCTTTTATATCAGAAATCATTTCCGCTAGTTCTTTGTCTCTCCCCTGAAGCTGCAAATTAAGTTCGTTTAATTTCTCTGTAATGTCCACGAGAAAACCAAAATCTCTAAGCCAGATTTAATTTTCTAGTTCCGGAGTCGGTTCATCGCGTTGTTTGAAAAATTAAACTATGCCAGATAGGACATCATTAAAACGTTTCAGCACCCGTCCTCTACTTAACCATCGGACTTCAGAGTGAAGGAGTAGGTCCCCGTATTGACAGTCAACTTCATCGGCCAAGGTTTTGAATAATCTTCTTTGTAACGCATGAGCTCTAATCTTGTTCACAATTTTTACCACCAGTTTCATAACGTTGTTTAGTTTCAGGAAATTTCCACATAATGCTTGCTGATGGATAATGCAGTGGTAACAGAGAAATTGCGGAAAAGTTTCATCTTTACGACATAACGCCACCAGACCCTTATCACAACCCACCATAGCTGGAGCGCTATCGGTTGTCAAGCCTACCATTTTCGATATTGGAATTTTGTCGGAAGAAATAATAATTTTTAATTGAGAAAACAACTCCTGTCCAGTAGTGTGTCATTTCAGTGGAATAAACTTCAAAAGATCTTCTTTAATCGTAAAATCACTAAAAACCATCCTGACGAACACGGCCATCTGGGAAGTGTCAACGACATCTGTTGATTCATCCAGTTGAAGTGAAAAATAAACACAGTTATCTAAGTCAGTTCTTAACTGTGAAAAAATATCATTGCTCATTACTTCTACATGTCTCATCACTGTATTAGCAGAAAGTTGCATAGATTTTATAGCTGAAACTATCTCGTCTTTATTTCTAAAGTTGGCAAATAACGAATCAGCAGCTTCTAAAAACGCCTGTTTTATCATTTCCCCGTCTTCATAAGGTTTCTTTTTTTGTGCAATTATCTGGGACACACGGTACAATGCTTCAGTTGCAGCCGTATTTTTGTCGACTGTTCTTAAAAATATTGATTGTTGTTCAATTAACTGCTTTTTTAACTGTTTCAGTTTCTTCTTTCTGGCGACAGAATGTAGTGGGAATGATTTTTCAAAATTAGAATGTACAGTTTTATGATGTCTCTCAATATTTCCTTTTTTAGCAACGGAGACCGAAGTATTACATAACAAACACACATTTTTATCTTTAACTTCTGTAAAAAAGTATTGTATGTCTTTATCTTCTTACAACTGCTTGCCATAATATTATTTTTTGTTGTTCTCTACTAACCCAACCGCTGGGCGTTGGTTACGCGTTCAGTTTTAAACTAAGCGCAATGTCGCCGCGCCGTGCATATTTATCCCGTTCAAAGCAATCCTGATCGTTCTCGAACACTAACGCGCTGGTCCGGCTGGTCGGTTCTAGCCGATTCTAGCTTGATGGCGTCAGCGGCAGATCGCTCACCGCAACGTTGCCGCTGTTTATGTTTAATATTATGACAATTAGATTTTTTTGTGGAATTTTCGGAAGCTTCTGATTTTTGCAGTTTGTATTTTTTAAATTAAAATCGTTGTGAGAGCTACCAGAATTGTCTCCGCGAGCTATCGGTAGCTCGCGATCGACAGGTTGGCGACCACTGGTATAAACAATAATTATTTAAAAGTCATTCACGAGGCTAAAATCTTAAAATTATCGTATGATAGAGATTATAATGTAGTGTTGGTACCAGCATATGAGATCGTTTATGTTCATGAAAATGTATATATAGTTATTCATCTTAAAATTGCATTTACACAATTTGAAAATAAACCAATTTATTAATATTTTTGAAAAAGCCTTTGACTGTGTCTGGCACAATGGCATCCTATTTAAACTAAAACTTCTAATGTACCTGATGGTCTTATGATTCTTATCAAAAACTTCCTTCAAAACAGAACTCTAAGAGTTAAAATAAATAACCACACATCTCCAAGTTTCATAGCAAATCAAGGTGTACCGTAAGGGTCGCCACTATCTCCGCTCCTTTACAACTTATATTGCTTTGATTTTCCTTCAGATCAGTTACACCTCAAAGCAGTAAATTACACACTCCAATAAGCAGATGACAAGGCCTTGATATCGCATGGAAATACGCTGAATCAAACAATCACAGCACTACAAAATCAATACAACGAAGTTGCTCAATGGCTTAATAAATGGAGGCAAGTTAACCCACAAAAATATCAATGGGCCCGTTCACTTTTATTTTTGAATGTGAATTATTTATATATTTATAAAGATATTAAACTCTTTTGTCTGGTGGTACTTTTCCCGTTAAGATATTTTTGCTAGAAGTAAGGGAATTCCCATAAAATTCTTTCAGTGACTCATTGCGTCAGAAAACCCCTAATTCCCTTCAGGTCTTGTATCAGTTAATAGTTAAAAGGGCGCGGTTGTCGGATGTATCATTGCACCACCATTCCTCTTCTGCATTTATTAAAGAAATTTACATGATAAAAATATATTATTTTTTAAAAATAATGTGTTTATATTTTCAGATATAGCTGGAAGCCTTACCTTTTTTAAATTTTAATAAAAACAATTAGTATTACTCAAGCTGAATATTACCAGATCGAAATTTTATTTGAGAAAATATATCTGGTAAACGTGACAACGTTGTAAGTACTTCTAAATAGTGTTGTCTACCACTTCTAGAAATAAATGCAACGTTGCCACGTTTACGAGATAAATATTGCAAATCAAATTTCTACTTTTTGATTATGGTCTGGTTAATTTTCAGCCTGAGTAATAATAATTGTTTTAATTAAAAAGTAAAAAATAAGCTCCCAGCTTTAAATCTGAAAATATAAATTCATGATTTTTAGAAAAATGGAATTTTACTATTTAAATTACATATAAATGCAGAAATGCTATATTATGGATACTTCCGACAACCTCGCCGTCTTTAAGCATAACCGATACGAGACGTGAACGGAATTAGGGATTTTCTGACGCAATGAGTCACTGAAAGAATTTTATGGGAATTTCCTTACTTCTAGCAAAAATATATAAATAATTCACATTCAAAAATAAAAGTGAACGGGCCCATTAATGATACCCTATCATGATCTAAGATCGACATCACCTACACTCATCATATCTAACCAACCAATCTATCCCGTATCCTCAGTGAAATACCTAGGCATTATTATTGATAATAAGCTGAACTTCAATGAACACACCCGCAGACAAAAAAAAAAAAACAAAATCAAAACCAGAGTCAAACATTTCCGCTCTTTAACATACAAAAAAGAAGGTATCAACATCTACACGGCTACTAAAAGCTACAAAACAATTAGCAGACCTCTTCTGGAATACGGTCACACTATATATTTAAACTGCCGAACCTGCATTAAAAACATTCAAAATCATTACCAAGATGTGACATCCTGAAAACCCTGTGTGGCTAGCCACACGTTAAAAATCATGGTCATGACGTCATGGAATTCGCAGTATAAGCATAATAAACGATATAGAACTCGAATTAAATTGTGGAATTACATATTTTAAAGAAAGGAAAGTGGAAGAATAAGACAACCTTCTCCAATAATACACAATAACATAGTTTCTAGCTCTTGAGATATCTTGTTTTCTTTTTGTTAACACATAATAAACTCCTTATGTAAGTAAGCTGTATTAAACCAAATGCCCTATTTACAAATATGAAATATTGGAAAATATCTGTTTAATGTAATATTCAATTTTATTAATCTCATTTACAAAAATTACAAATAAATCACTGTTGATTCTCCTAGTCATTTATAATCTATGGTGATTTGGTTTTAAAATTGCTTGTGCTTGCTATGTAGTTTTTTTTTTAATATATACCTGCCACAGTAGTAGAAAAATCTCAACTCACATATTAAAAGGAGATCATTCAAATACTAATGCTCAAAATTTTTAAATTGAATAATTTAAAATTTTATACCATACTAAGTTTTTACTTTGATTATTGGTCGAGGCAAAGCTGATTTTTTACGAGTAGTTTAGTTTGCAGTGCATCTCAGTCTCGGCTGACTATTCCAAATTTTATCTCGGGTACTTATTTTACCTTGTTTTGTTCTACTTGTAATGAAATCATAGAAGGAAACAAAGATAACTGAAGGTATATATTTATCTCAACCTCCTAGGTTTAGAACAAAAGATAAGTAAATATTAATAATGCTAAGATAGCACATTCAGAAAAGATTAATATAATGTAAATGTAGCCCTGCAGATTCTAGTCCATGATTTTGCTTGATTGAAATTATTAGTAAGCATCTACAATCTTGCCAGTCCTATAGACTTCTCAGATAAACAGTCGGTTTGGTTTTTACTTTTGACGATTTGGCAACTTAACGTTAACAAAATAAGTAGGTACTGATTTTAGAGGCTTATTGTGTAAATGTTTCTATAAAGCCTGACATCAAACCTATTATTGTATTTACACTTCAAACTAGGTTTATGTTAAAACTTTCAAGTAAATGTGCAGGTTGTCATATCTTACCAGTTACTAATCTTTGAGATAAGACAAAAAAATATGATGTGCCCAACACATGACTTTCCTGTAAAGTTATTAAAAATATTGAGTACGGTCCATCTAATCAAAAACTGTTCAGAATATGAATTAAAAGATATTTTCATTGCCAATGAAAATACTTAAAAATTAAAATTTAGCAATTTATTTATTACAGTAGGTATATTTTAGAGAAACTATATAATGAAAAAAAATATAGAAAATGACATCACAAACAACTTTTATTGAAAGAATTTTTTTCTATAATCGTAAATAACAGAAATATACCTTAATGTAGAAAAATTACCACCATAAAGTATCTCCAATGCTCAGACTATGCTCAAAATCTAGTCAGCTCTCCAAAAGATGGATTAAATCCTAAGTTCTCTCTATCCACTTTTAAGTTATTGTGGATATACACACAGACATCATTGCAAAAATGGGAAAAACTGATTCAAGGGAGCCCAAAAACAAAGGTTAATCGAAAACTCGAGGTCGAAAAAAAATCACAATTCTTATACTTTTCTTACTTAATACAGGAAAGTAAAAATGTAGCTACATTCTTTAAAAGTAACAAATTATTGTTTATCATAAACCATTTTTTAAAGTTGAATTTTTCTAAAAAAAATCTCGAAAAGCTATATAGGTAGATATTAAAATAAAATTAGTCCAGAACAATACTAGTACAATAAAGATAAAACAAAGAATATTTTGTATTATGGGCTCATGGAATCTATTAATAATTAAAAAGGGGAACTTTACATTAAAATACAAAAACTGTAAACTTGTAACGAAAACATAGATTTATAAAATATAGAACTAAATTAACAAGACTTTTATTAAAGAAGCAAAGAAAAATACTTTCAAAATAAAATATATAAATAAAAATACCTCTAAATCTTGCAGAAACAAAGAAAAAATACTTATGATAAAATATTGTTAATTTATGTAACACTTTTTTTCAAAATGTTGATCAAGTGCATTCAGAAATCTTATATCCAGAGTTCATGCCCACGCATGCAAAATATTCCTTGTTCTTTAGCCCCTTCTATCCATATTTTAATTCAGATGTGTAAAAAGTTCGAAATATTCCTAATGGAAAGCCTGATATTTGTTGCAATGTTTTGTATATAAATTGTAGAAGGTAATTTACAATTTACCTCCGTTTAAGGTTTGGCAATTTCTACTTGCAATCATCGTTATTGTAAACACATTTTACAAATAAATCAAGGTTAATATTATGTAAAATTATGCAACAAATGACATCAGCACATAAACGGTAATTGAATAGTAAGGTTATGTATCATGTATGGAGAAGTAAACAACAAACCATGACGTCATGAGTGACGTTTTACGTGTGGCTAATTTTTCAGGATCGCGGCAGGTTAACGTGTGGCTAGTCACGGCCATCCTGGAAAAAACTAGGAAACTATCAAAAAATTTCTCGAAGAAACGAAACAATCACATGCTAACAAACAGTTTTTCAATGCAACAACAAATTGGTCAAGCAACCCAGTGAGATCAATAACAGAAATCTTAAACGAATTTGCCGATGTTGTTTTCTTTTTTTTTTTAGGTATCTTAATATTCGTATTCATCTTACACATATAGCGTGTAAATCCTCATATATACCATACAAAATGTACTGGCTAAAGGACCTAGGTCGATGGCCATTTGGTTGTAATATTAATAACCAATAAAGTGCTTCTATTTTTATTATTATTATTTAATATTCTTGTAATCTTATTTTTAAAGTTTACAACAATTCTCTTTTTACTTAAATTTTATATAATATTGAATTGTCTTTTTGATAAAGCTAGGCATTTATAATTCTTAACTAGCTTAAAAAAAATTATTGCCGCACTTTCTTTCCCGAAAACTATTTCCCCAAAAATGTCTATTAGAAAAGCCTGAATTCACAACTGAGAAAACCATATAGTATATATGTGCTCATTTCACTTTCTGATTTGATTAAAGGTAAGTAATGTTTGATATAAAATATCTAAGAGCTAGTCAAAATTTCATATCGGTGATTTACAAAAGGTAATTAAACGTTAATTATAACTATTATTGCAAATAACGAATTTTATTGCAAATTAACGCCGTACATATTACAAGGTATATTCAGATCCACGTTGGCTCTGAGGTATATCCCTAAAAACTGGAGAGGTAAAAGTGGTCTTTTTACATCCAAACCTGGAAACTTACAGACCAATTAAAAAATATATAGATTCCGCTAGACTACTGCAGAAATGAGACTATTTAGAAATTGAAAAAAAAAATTAACTAGTTCCTAACTGGCCCCAAAGTTTCACATCCCAGTAATAATGAAGAAACCGATTACAATCAGAAATCAATATCAGGGACAGATGTTTCAATATTTTATAATTTTTTATAACTTTAGAAAACAAACTCGTAAAATGATTTTGAAAAAATATCACTATGCCGACAATTCACCCCATACTAGTGAATTTTAACCATAGAAGCTTCTTAATACCATTCAGTAACATGACACTAATCAAAAATTTTATTAAAAAAAAATCCAATTTGAGACTTCCGACGCTCAATCGACTTAATAATAATATGAATATTAGGTTATGTTTCGATTTGTGCATTATTAAAACAATAAATAGATAAAACAATTTTTAAAATTATTTGATAAAATTTACTTTTATTGTCATAACTTGGAGGATGTCCTGGTTGTCCATAAGCATTTGGAGAATAAGGAACATTTCCTTGAGAATACTGTGGCCCCACTGGCGGATAAGGGTAGGTTGGTTGTCCTTGGTAATGTTGCGGACCTCCATAGGGATAATTATGAGGTTGATTATATCCTGGTGGATACTGTGGACCTCTGTTTTGAGAATTGTGAGCTCGATGGGCTTCATGATAACTGGGAGGTGGAGTATTAGACCTTGCATTTTGTGTATCTCGCTTTCCTAAAAGTTTTTATAATATTTATTACATGTGTAGAGGGCGTGCAAATAAAAATTCACAAGACTCTTGGAAACGACTAGAGATTATATTCTCTCACTCAGTTTGTCAAATGGAAGAAAGGCTAAGGTTCTGACCAAAAATAGTTTTTAAATAAATCAATATGTACATGTAGTGCTGACCAGATCAAATAAATAAATAACATTTGAATATGCAAGATAAGAAACAATATAGTAGATAGTACCGTTCAACATGATAGACCTGTACAGGCGTGACTCACTGGCATCGATACTATATTGTTTCTTCTCGTACACATATGCACAAGCTATTATACATAAGCAAAGAAGGTCAGAGATTTGATCTTGCCAGCACTGTATATCGTCGCCTTAATGCAGAACTATTGTATGTCCAAAAAATGCTAATTTTCGTTTTTAATACCAAATGAAGCTATTGGTGCCCTTTCTATTCAATATAGAAATATTACTCCATCTGCAGTGGTTTTCCTCTTAGCGCTTAGTAAAATATTGTAAAACATAAACCTTTTATTTATTCTGAAGGCAAAAAATTATTCTGTAAAAATCCAATTTTGTGACATACAAAAGTTCTGCATTAAGGCGACGATATATGGAACTGAGAAGCAACTTCAAAATGTAGTGTAATTGAAAGATATTCAGTTTACAATGAAATTTTGTTCTACCAAAAAAATCAATTTGTTATGGTATAATTTCTAAAGTACTAAAAATTATTTCAGTTGAGTTACCTTTGCTTTGATTTTTATCTCCTTTTTTGTCCTTATCCTCACTCTTATCTTTATCCTTCTTCTCCTTTTTGTCTTTATCTTTCTTCTCATTATTGTCTTTATCCTTTTTGTCCTTTCTCTCTTTATCCTTTTTTGCCTTCTTTACTTTTTTAATTGGCATTGTATGAAGATACTCAGTATTTTGATACTCTGTGTTTCTGGATTTTTTCTGACATTCGTACAATTCTTTTATTTTTTTTCCATTATGTTTCAATTTGTACAATTCTTGAACGCTGTCGCTTACTTCTTTTGGAGTGATGGCATCACCGCGGCCTAGAGCTTGATTTAAGCGAAGAGCTTCGTCGAATTGTGATTTTAATTCAACATATTGTAACATAAGGTGTTGAAGATGAACAACTGTATCAGCATCGCAAAGAGGTCCCATTGATCTTTCCCTACAAATAAGATTAAATTTGATATGGATGTGACACACTATATTCGACATTCTTCAACTTTAGAACAGTCATTACAGCTGTACTTTTAGTCTTGAACAAACCAAGGCAACACCGCAGCGATTAAAACGATCACTACGCGCTACGAAGTGAGGGTTAAAAAACACCACACGAAAATATCCAACAAGAACTATGTACCCAAAATGGACTTAATCATCGCGAGGCCAGATTTATATTTGCTAGGCTAGAAAGTAGAGTCGGTAATGGAACAGCATAAACTATTTAAAGTATAACCAAGACAGTTTATAAATAAATTATTTTATTAACATAGTAAAATAAGAATAAATTGAAAAAAAAAATAGCTAAAAGACAGAGTTCTGCTTTTATATTTGCAGAATGCTCTTCCCTCCCAATTTCGTGGACAAACGCAAAAAAAAACTAGAGGACTAATATATAATATTCCCTCTTACCTGTTAACCAAATACTCAATATAATCCTTATAGGCATCATTAAAGGGGGTAATAGCATTGTTTTGTAAAAAATGGGCAAATTTGGCACAAGTTCTCAGAATAACTTGTTGCTCTTCGTCTAATTCATTCTTTTTGGTTTCCATGAGGTGCATCAATTGTTGATTGTGCTTCATCAACTCTTGTCTGTTAGTAATTTTTTTAGCCATGTTTTCATCTTTTTCTTGGATTTCCTTAGTTTTCGTTCTATAGTATATGTGCATGTGAACTCTGAAATCACAGCTGCACTTAGTACACGTTGTTGAACCACTCATTGCTGCACAATTCATCAATTCTGGTGATCCAATAATTTCTTTAGGTACATTATTCAAATAGCAAGGATCGTGACATCTTTGCTTGTATTCTATAATATTTTTTCCGGCAACCTAAAAAAGTTAGTAACGAAACAATAATTTATAGAAACGAGTACATCAGTAATAAGTACAGTTCAGATTTTTGAGTTTCGGAAGAACCAAATTAGGATAACAACAAATTAAAGTTAAGGCAGCCAACGCTATATTCCATCAATATCAGTGCGATTTAAAGCAATGGCGCGGCTTCATAAAAAAAATAAATTTCAAACTTACTTTATACACTTCGCAACATTTCATGGTAGTGCACACTGTGGCGGGCTGTGGCATTTGTATGGTTTCCAATGTTATAACCGGTATATACAGGTTTTTTTGCATTTCTTCAACAGAACCTCTATCTAATCTCAGATTTTCTCTATGTCTTTCCAAAGCACTCATGTTATGGTGAATTAGTTGTGTTATTTCTGTTAAAGGTTGAGCAAGTTGATTAATGATTCTTCTTGCCTCGTTTATAGCATTTGTGCTCTTCACATGATGAGGCTTTAAGGGACGGTTATCCTTATCACCAGTGATGTAGTGAATCAACCTGAATAACATAATTGAGATTAGTTATTTGTTATTTATTAAAAATAATTTTTGGACATGTCCGTTAAAGTTGTAGAAAATAGTCGACTGTGAAAAACTAGATATAAAGGTATAAGAAAGTCATATCATGGTTTGGGGGTTATACACTAGATTTGTTTGTCTTACCAGAAATCAAATCACGACTTGTGAAAGACTGCCTAGAATACCTGGCAGAGCTAAGCAGTCAAAACAATGCGACACTCCTGGGTGCCAGACCAAGAGAGATATCAGGGCAACGAAAAGGCCAACTAATTAGCCCGATAAGATTCAGATAAGGCCATGACAGGCCCCGAACCCTTCTGTGGAGTTGCTAAGGCATTGTCCAAGGCATCCATCAAACAATGGATGCAAAACGAGTATCAGGAATGGTGGAACAACTATCCAAGACTGAGACAGGCCAAACAGTTAATTAAGGAACCATCAGCTAAGTTCACGAAAAACCTGTTGGATCAAAAACCTCAAATCGTTAGGATAACAGTAGGTCTTGTTACCGGACACTGTCGCCTAAGAAGGCACATGAGTGTCATCAAACCAGCAGAAGAAGCAACGTTGTGAAGATTCTGTGAAGAAGAAGAGGAACATCAATCCACGTCCTGTGCCAGTGTAAAGGCCTGGCTAGATTGATTTTTCTAACATTAAGCGAAGAAAAGCCAAACGCATGCAACAAAATGGGCGAGCCACTGCCAAAGTCTAATAAAAAAGACCAAGCTAGACAACATTCTCTAAAAGACGGAGTCCCACAATAGATCTGAAAAGGTCGCGATGGAGATGGAAAAATAATGTCCAACTCCTTTTAAATCTAATCTAAGGTTGCCATTTGGTAATGTTCTGGGTTTGCTACTGTTTAATTTATATTAATTACATTGCTAGAGTAGTCGAAAGATACTCAATACACTTATTTGGGGATGAAACCAGATCTATTTTACCCATGAAAACACACTTGTTTCAAAGAAATGAATATAGTTCTATAAAATTATGATTGCAACGGAAACTCGTTGAAAATAAATTACGAAAAGACAAAATTGATAATTCTGCCCTCAATTAAAAGGCCGTATCTACAAAAAAAAAAATCAAGAAACGAGATTTTTATGTATATGGATTCCTATATTATTTTATAATCTTTTGCGGTATCTGAACAATTAACTGGTAAAAATACTTAAAACGCTTTGCCGTATCTGCAAAATCATGTCAATTTCTTACTTGCCACTGCTTAATGAAAACGCCGTAAATGATTTTTTAAAAAAACTAGATGAGGAAACACAATTTTTTGAATGACATATTGTGAGTTTTATTCTAATTACTATAGCACATTTTTTAATTAAATATTAAATGAAAGAGAAAAAAATAAGAAATCCAAGCAATAAACTTTAAACCCCATTTTATCAGATTTATGTTGTTTGTAGATACGGCCTTTTAATTGAGGAGGGCAGAATTGGGGCATTGGCAATTTAAGAAAACTAAATGTAGCATCGAAGAGTGTTTCTGTAGATTGAGTGAAGCTTTAGATAATCGAAAAAAATATTTAGCATAGTGGATACATATTTACAATATAAGGAGTATTCTAATCAAAAAATTCATATAAAATTAACTATTTGAGGCGCTGTTCTCCACATCTCACAAAATGTGCTAAAAGAGTAATTTATAATAACTCTTATATTATCTCATTTTAATTATCCAGCAACTATATTGTATTTGTTTTTCACGTTAAATATGCTTCAGTGGTGGCCTCTTAAAAATACTGACTATTTTATTGCGTTATTTATATTTAAGATTAAAACAGAAATCGCCCCAGTATATTTACAAAATGCAAGAAACTAAAAAATGTTAGTATTAGTTATCTACAGTTATTAGTAAGGCTGTCAATTCCTGACGTGATTAACGGTTAACCGGTTCGATTGATTTTGACCGGTTTCGGTTTTAACCGGATTTTTACTATTATTTTAGTCTGGATATCCTGTTAACCAGTCCAGATCTCCGGTTAACCGGTCAGATTATCCGGTTTACTGGTCTGATAGCCGCTTAATCGGTCTCCTCAAACCGAGCCAGTCGAACCGGACCGGTTAGACCGGATTCGGCCAGCACAGACAATAACGGGTATTTATTCGCGTTGTTTTTCCACCAAGTTAATGGATTTTGATCCTTTCGTAATAATACCTTAGAATTGTATTCCTCCACTTCCGAAAGATAATTATTAGGTCTAGAATCTTCTGGAAATGAAATGTTTATTTCCGATTTCATGTTGGCTTCAGATTCAGAATTAGTTGTCATCTCATCCATTTCCTCAGACATAGTTCTAATTTGTTTTTCCAACTCGTACTTGACTTTTAACCGAAAGCCCATTTGAAGTCCGCAGTTTAATGTTTTCAAACTTATTTGTCAAGGCATCCTTTACATGAAATCGTTTATCAATTTCTTCTGAAACTGGGCTTGTCAGGTGGCTCCAAAGAGTACTACTCCCAGAATATTTGAAAGAGTTTTCGCAAATGTTGGAAATTGCGTTTTGCTTTGAATCGTCTTTAGTACCAGGTCTTCAACAATACCCGAAACCCACGTGATCTGATAACCATCAAAAACCCATCGAAAGGGCCTGATTTGACGTAAAAGGAACTAAACTGAACTGTCAGAAATGTCACTGGCGTTCATTTGGGGACAGAATATTTATGTTATATTTGTTTACATTTTATAAACACCTTATTCCATTTTTCATTTAATATTAATAGAGCAATTAGTTATTTTTAGAGATTATTGCTACCTTAATTCTTTTTATTGGTAAGTACAAATTTATTTACTGCAACTCGTAAAAGTTAACAAAATTATTTTATATTCGTAATTGTATTCCAAAATTTGAGGAACGTTTTCCAGGTGAATAAATGGAATGTGATTGTCTCTTGTCATAAACAAATATTTGTTCAAAATTATAAAAAAGGAAAAAGCTCTAAAAGGCCCCAAGTAATAACAAAAGCTGTTGAAGATGTGCAAATTAACATGGTGTAAATTCCCAATAAATTAGTAAAAAAAACAGCACCTCAAACAGGTATGAACGGTGTTTCAAAGACTGACTCTGATGAGTGAAATTCAAAACATTTTTTTTTAGGTTTGTCGCTACGAATTAGTCATAATCAGTGTTGCCAGAATATATTTTTGTAATGTACCAGATTTGTCTAAAAAATGTACCAGATTACATAAAAATGTACTAGATTATATAAAATTACCAGATTTTCTAATTGTGAAGTGTGGTCAATAAAGAGCAAAAAAAAAGGTTTATAGACAATACGAACACAACAATTTTATACAATATTTTATCTTTCGACAAATTTCTGACACTATTTTATCTCTCGAGCAATTTTTGAAAAAGATTTTAATACCTTATAATACTATTTTATCTCTCTAACAATTTTTAAACCTTTTTTTTATCTCTTGAGCTATTTTTAAGTAATATTTTATCTTTAGATAAATTTATAACATTATATGTATCTCTCGAGCAATTTTTAACAACTTTTTTTATCTCTCGAGCAATTTGTACAATATTTTATCTCTCGAGTAATTTCTAAAAGTATTTTATAGTTCGAGGAATTTTTAAACAATGTTTTATCTCTCTAGAAATTTCTAACAGTATCTCTCGAGTTAATTTTAAACAATATTTTATTAACAAATTTTTCAATTTTTCAAAACAATACTACACCTTACCTCGAGCAATTTTTGAACACGATTTTATCAATTTCTAATACTATTTAATCTCTCGTACAATTTTTAAATATTTTTTATTTCTCATTAAATTTCTAACAGTATTTTTATCCCTAGAGCAATTTTTGAACAATATTTTACCCCTCAAGCAATTTCTAATACTATTTTATCCTTCGATCAATTTTTAACACCCTTTTTTACCTTTCAAGCTATTTTTAAACAATATATTTGATCTCTCGTGCAATTTTTGAACAATGTTTTATCTCTCGAGAAATGTCTACTATTTTATATCTGAAGCAATTTTTAACAACTATTCTAATTTCTTTGGCAATTTTTGAACAATATATTTTACATTTCAAATGGAACATACCCTGAAAAAAGTACTAGATTTTAATTCGAGTGTACTAGAGTACCAGATTCTCAGAGAATGTACTAGATCTAGTACAATTGTACTAGACTGGCAACACTGGTCATAATGTATTGAAAACATTTCTGATAATGCATCCCCTATAAAGTTTCGGTACTGCAACAATCATTTTACCTTAATTTTTTTAAACCTACCTATGGAATATTACAGATCGTTCAATTAAATGAAATACAACATAAACCTGAGGAGAAACTGCATAATGTGTTCAAAAAAGAACAATTGATGCTTGCGTTAAAGCTGGTGATAAAGATTTTGAATAGATAGGTACTGTGAATTAGTATCGTTTGTGCACCACCGATTACTACTCAATATCCTTTTAAATAAAATAGTTGTTAATAGGTATGCCTTTATAATTTAAAGTGAGAGCTGTAAGGTAAAACAAATGTGTGCTTGTTACAGTAATTATATTAATATTTTTTTGTATACATAAGTAACAATGTATTTTGTAAATGGTTTAAACCCTGTAACAAATAAATAATAGAACAAACTTAAATTATTTGTTTATTACTTCCCATTGCCCAGGTACAATTCCAGTAAACTTTAAATTTGTTTACTTAAACTGCAATAATTGCCAAATACTGCCATTGTTTTCTGCCTATCCTATTTAAAGTTTCAGCTGTAGCTAAATATCTTAGAGTCAATCTAAAGTAAATAATTTTTAATTTTATTCATATAATAATGCATAACATTTTTTTGTCCATAACTTTCTGGTAAAGGTTTTTTTTTTTTGTAATAGTGGCAATAACTGGCACGCATATTTCAGTTTATTCTTTTTGTTAAATACAAACTAGATATAATAGCAGCTAAGTTTTTAAGGTTATGTTAATTATATCATAATTTTAAAAATTGCATTTAACTAAATCTAATTAAAATATCGAAAACTAACATTAAAATACAATAATATAAAGTACCTCTAATTAATATTATGATTTTGTGTTGTAATTCTAACAGTTACCAAATTGAATTTTGTTCTCGTAATTTCAGACCATAAAAAAAGAAGAAGGTATATTTTGTAATAAAATACCTACGGCACTGGCTCACATCTAGGGATTTTTACTTTTATTTTCACCAATCGCTGTCATGACGATTTGGTCACGTGGGTTTTCGGTATTGTTGAAGACCCAGTATAATAGTTCCATATTTCTGACATTTTAAACAATAGCAAGTAAGTATTATGAATTTTAAATTTTAACTGTAACTTGAGTGTAGCACTGTCCGAGACTTTCTAATTATAATAGAACTGACCTAAAAATATGGTCCAGGACCAGGAAGCTCTGGTATCGAGAGGCGTAACTAAGAGCTAGGAATGCGTATGATACGTAAAAAACGCGACATTCGATGTTTTAATTTTCGTCGGTTTTATTTTTTTGATAACATCGATGTTTTATTCGATATTTTCCATTCTTCTGCATATTGTATCTTTATTTAAATCGGTCACAATTAAAAAAACATAAATTTTAATCGCACAAATGCGCCCTCTAATAGTCAATGAAAAAGTTTTGAAGCACATTTTTTTGGATAACTGTGATGTAATTTTATTAAAAAATAATAATTTCCTTAGTTTTGCTTTGTTTTAATATTACATTTGGAATGTTTATATTTGTATTTTTTTTATAAAATAAATACAGTATCATTTTGTTTTACCTACTTTTAAATGTATAAGTAAGTTTTAAAAACATCGATGTTTATAAATATCGTTTTTTTCACTTCGGTCATTTTAATGCCATCGATACTTTGTTTTTGGTATATCATTCGATGTCAGTATCGACGTTTTAAAAAATATATGCATCCCTACTAAGAACTCAAACTATACTTGTTCGTTTACGTTCACGGTCTCGCTAAAACCGGTTTCGGATACTGTTAAACCAGTTACGGCTCAACAAATGACAGGTTTAACCGGTTCGATTAGAGTTACACCGGTTACGTTCTTTAACGGTTTTTGGTCCTACAGAACCGGTTACGGTTAACAGCCTTAGTTATTAGTTATCTTCAATGTTTTCTTTTTACTTACTTCCAACATTGGCTAGCAGATTTGTCCCAGCTTTCTTTATTTCTCTCCTTTATTTCAGGATCAAACTCAATTCCAGCCTTAACAGCAGCCAGATATTTAAAGGACTCATTATCAAAACAGAAAATATTTTTATTGAGTGGAATTTTAGCAAACGGAGGTTTGCTTCCAATATCATCAATCATCTTTTTCAAAATACGTTCCGTTTCACCCGGATTGTAATCCGAGCCCCTAGTGTTGGTAAAACAGAAAATGATATTATCCGTAGCAGATTTGTCCAATCTCGATAAGATCTGGTTCATACAATATTTGAAGAAAACTGTGTCGCGGGATTCATTGGGTTTTAGCAGGAAACAAATGGCGTGGAGTTCATGCAAATTTCCAATGTAGCTCAAAATGTTTTCAGAGTTGATATCATCTTGTTTGGGTCCTACAACAAAAAACAATAATAAATAATGGATAAAAGAATATGTTGCATCAAAGAGATACAAGCAATTAAATAGAAAAAGAATGAATTCCGTTTTCCAATAATCAGGATCTATCTATAAATGAGGTATTAGTGAACAATATTTTCATTATACCTCTCTGAAAACACTATCTTTACATGACTATTTAGCGCACCGAAAATTAGCTTTTTCCGTACGATCGCATAAGAAAATTTTTTCAGTGCGATAAAAATGATGTCCCGCTTTTCATGATAATATCTCAGTTATTAATAATGCGATTTTGTTCAATTTTGGTGGTGATTGTATGTTAGAAAAATGAAGTATTTGGCATAGTGAACATTTTTATTTACCATTGGCGTTAGGTGATGGGGATAAAAAAGGCTTTATTTTTTGGGAAAAGGATATCAGGGTTTATTTTAGATAACTTTTTGTATCAGATTTAGAATCAGCAATAAAAAAAAAACCTTAATTCATATTTTCAAAAAAATTTAACTTACATTTTTAGTAAGTTCCTTATTTGTAACTGTAGTAATAAAATTACGAATCACATTATTTTAGATTCTTGTCTTTTCAACATAACTACCTTCTAAAACAATAAACTTTTCAACAATTCTTTCTTAAACGTACATTCACTTTTCTTAAAGTTTGAAGAGTAACTTCCTGTCACACTTGCCTAACTGTAATGCAAAGCTGCTCCCTATTACTCGGCCGTGTTGCACACTTTATTTTTCAAGTTCCCCCACAGAAAAAAGTCACAAGGGGTAATATCCGGCGATCTGGGTGGCCATGGTTCTAAAGGAGAATTTCTACCCACTTTATAGAAAAAGTTGCATTTAAAAAGTTCCTAACTATCAGAGAATTATGTGCGGGGGGCACCATCCAATTGAAAGAATAAGTTGTGTATCTGTGCTAAAGGCAATTCCATGAGAAAATCATAAAACTAATTTTTCAGGAAAAAGGTCCAACAATTCGTTCGTTAAAATATTCCACACCACACGTTAACTTTTTCACTGTATTGGTTTTTACAATTAATTACCCAATTCGTATTTTCGAATGCCCAAAACCTACACTTTTGACTAGATACCACACCGTTCTTTAGAAAAAGTCTGTCGTCAAGATAGTTTCCTTGCAACCATAAGCAAAATTCAAACCGACGTACAAAATCACCATTTAACAGTTTATAGAAATGTTGGTTTAAATGCCTGAATCCTATCGTTTCAAACATCTCCATACTTTGCTTTTCATTAAATTCAGTATCCTCGCAACTGCCTTATTCTACCATTTGGGTTGTTTCGAAATTCTGCTATACGTTCGTCGTCTGGATAGTGCATTTGATTTATATTGTACCTCCTTGGTCTTGTATTGAAAACCGCTCCAGTCCTTTCATTGAATATTCCAGCAACCTGACGCGTAAATCTGTCATTTTTTACCAAATAAGCGGATAATTTCTACTTTTTCTCCAATTGTAAGAACTACTCTTCGGTTTTGTGCCATCTTATTAACAGTTAAGTATAGTCCATCCAAACAATAAGTCAACTACAAAGTAATACCGATAATGGAAGATGCTCCAAAAAAAATTACTAAATATTATGTATGAATACATCTAAAAAGGAGTTTGTCCACGACCACTTAATAATAAATCAATATTCTACCTCCTAACTAAAAGCATATAGTACCCATATATCACGGAGTGAATTATGATAATTCACGCTTTTGTAATTCTGGCACATTCCGGTAGATAACTAAAGATAGGCGATACGAAAAATCGAAAATCAAAAATCGAAAAAACAACAGTTAGCTACCTATGTTTAATAAAAACTTTCCATTCTACACTTAACTTTTATTTAATAAAGAAATCATAATGGTCGTGGACAAAGTATAGTATTAGACTATTATACCAGGAGTATGTCATTATTATGTCCCTGGACGATAGTAATACACTTATTATAATACTAAAAATTAATAACTTAACTCTGTGTGGGACTATAGTAGTCCAGTTTATTATTTCTCTCTATGTCGCTGAAATGAACCAATAACCTGTGTAGACAGACTGTTCGCAAATTAAGGAGAAGCCAGTGTCGTCGCATCGTTGTGTCAGTTTATTATTTAATTTAATTGGTTGGAGAATTTTAAACATTACCACATATTTTAATTTCTACAATTCATTTTATAAAATAGATGTAATAAATAATTTTACAATGCGAAAAAAGATTAATAATCAATCAATTTGAGGATTCGATTATGAACAAAATACCTACAAGTAGAGATAAAGGTAATGCGTTCCAAGTATATGATACAAAATTAAAAACTGAAATAAATATATACCAACTGCAAAGTGTCTATTGAAATTTTTTTTTTCAGACAAATAAAATGCTGCCTCTAGAATAAATAATATTTTAATTAGTGCACTTCCAATTCTTTCGAAATGAAGGTTTCTTATTTTATATCAATTTTGCATGACATACCTTCTTATAGATATAAGTAGGTAGGAAATAATTGACTTAATTGGTTATAGTGCAAACATTCTCTACTGGTTGGGATACTTCCCAAGTGACATCATGTTCTCGATTGTAAACAATACGAGCGTCAACATTTTATTAATTCAGTTATAAAAAACATTTTAAAATTAAAATTACAAAGTAAATGTACAAATAATCTAAACATGGACCGACTTATGTAATAAAAATGTGACTTACATATTGCTGATTTAACTCAGATTTCTTCATTGTTTCCAAATTCCTGTTCCTCGTCTTCCTTCTCCTCGCTATCATCAATTATATCATCGTCGTCGTCATCCTCATTGAGATTTATGAAAAATCGTTCTCCATTATTTATGTGTATGCCGCTAATGTTCCTGTATTCCTCTTCTATTTCATACACATGTTTTATAACTGCGATTTTCCGATCGCATCTATTTGTCCTTTAATCAAGTTGACGACCTGAGAATCAAATTTGGGAAATATATTTTTTCTCTGAATATTTTGTTTCAATTGGCTCCAGAGTAACTCTATAGAATTAAAAATACAAAAATATGGTAGCAACCTTAAAACTGTATGACCCCTATCACCTACAATTTCTTCGATTATATACTTTTTTTTCAAAATCTTTAGTCTCGGACTTCCAAAAGTTTATATTTTTTATAGTTTTTATCAAAATATAAATCGTGATTTATTAAAATTCTTGAATTTCATCTTTCCTAGAGTTTTGATTAGGTATATTTTCCTTAAACTTGCAGTGATATGAAGCATTGTCCATAACTATTATACTTTTTGGCTTTAAATTAGGCAACAGTAAATTCGCAAACCATTCTTCAAAAATATCGGAATTCTTATTTGAATGGTAGTCAATCTGGCAGCTATAATTTTTTTCCAATGAATAGTAAGGCATTGTCAACCCAACCGTTCTCTGAGCCACAGTTTAATATCAATCGAGTGCCTTTATTTGGAGGGATGCCTAAGGCTTGGCAATATTTATTATCATTTGTCCAGTCCTTTTTTGCAGTATCATGCGAATCATACCACGTTTCATGAAGAAAATAAATTGGCCTGCTTTCATTTTTGTATTCACGAATTTTCTGTAAATAAGATTTTCTCCAGTTTACTATTCGTCTTGTTTCCATAACTGCACTTCTTTTATCTATCGTTTTGTATTTAAAACCGATTTTTTAGCCAATTATACAATGTAGACCTTTTTGTATATGTATCGAAATAAGATTCACTTAAGGGTTTATGTATAATATCAAGAGTGGGAATAGTATTTTGTCTATAAAGTTCATACACTGTATTCAAATGGATTTGGCAATGGCTGGATCTAAGTTTTATTTTTACACCTTTGTCTTTACGAACTTTTTTGCTGGAAGTTCCATTTTTTATAATTTGGTTCATTCTATAAACCGATATACCAGTAATAAACGCTGCTTCTTGACCGGTAGAAGTGTTTTCGTTATACCCACGGTTTAACAAATTTTTATAAACATTTAAACAAATTTGCTGAGACTGTTCATTTAAAAAGTTTTTTTTTATTTGCGCAGGCACTGCATTAGTATCTCCATCACTGTTTGATGTACTGGTGCTCGGAATACTATCCCACGGTCTCCACATAGTTAATAACACATACACAAAAATATAAACGAATAATAAAGTTAAAATGACTAACTTCCAAAACACAAACTAATTATTGATAAAACGAACCTAAACACTAATAAAACAAAAACTAATATTCTATAAAATTTTAAAAAGTACGATGTAGGAGCTGTTTACCGTACAAAACTCAACAGGTCACTAAGGTGAACAAAACTCCAGTAAAAATAATTATTTTTATTCAAATACGTTTGATTTTCCTTTTTAGTATTGGTTAAAAATTTCGCAAGTTGTAATACTTTTTAAACAGACAAAGACAATATGCCGACAAAGACAATAGCCGTCAAAGGCGATACACCGCCAAAAACAATATACTTACAGAGGCAGTATACCGACAAATTTGTTCACGCTTCTTGGAGAAAAAAAGCAAAATTTTATCTAAAACACTGAAATCGTTGAAGGAAAACGTCAGTTATAAATCCTACTTATTTTATTCTAATTATATATCTATAAAATATTACTATTTTAAATCTTCAAATCGAAAGAAACATATACCTTGAATACGTACATATAATTAAATTATTAAATAAAATTTCAAGAAAAAACATGTATCTCCGTCTATGGGCGGCCTATCAAAGAGTTAGTTTAGCTGACTTCCGATAAGCAACCCACTCCCTACATCAATTTTTTTTCGAATTATTCAAATAGATGCCGAACTTTTTTTGCGTTTGCGGTATTCCTTTATAGTTGACTTATTGTTTGGATGGACTATTAACACTGCTTGACTTATTTTAATTTCTTACGAATTACTAAATGTCAAACAAAAACATTTGTTTCAAATCACTCTTTGATTAACTTGCTCAAAAACAACACAGGCCAGCATGTGAACGGTAACAGAGCGCGCGTATCTTAGCAAAATTTCAAAAGATGGTATTAACATAATTTGCGAGGATACTGAATTTAACAAAAACGGTATGGAGGCGTTTGAAACTACATTTAAACTAAACAGTCAAAAATAATCAACCTATTAGAAAAAGTGACTTAAAATCAATTAAATTGTTTTCCTGCTAAAATCAGCTCTTGAGATTTTAAAAATATGAATCGAGGAGTTTTTTGGGATGCCGATTCTAAATCTGATAGAGTTATCTAAAATAAGGCCCAATATCCTTTTCCCAAAATTAAACCCTTTTTTATCCCCCAACACCGAACACCAATAAAAAATAAAAATGTTCACTATGCCAAATACTTCATTTTTCTAACATCCAATTACCACCAAAATTTGAAGAAAATCATTAGTTAGGCGTCATGTACTTCTTATTGATCAACGTCACAAGTGTGACTCACCACCCTGAAAAGGAGGATAACTCCTATAGCAAGGTATTAGGAAATACATGTCTAAGAAAATGTAAAAATGTAATATGAAGTCACTATTTAAAAAAAAGCGTGATGCTTAATGACTTCTCTCCCACTCAGAATAAGAGCTTCAGTACCTCTCAAAGAAAACACATCACAGCGTTTTGGGGTGATAAAAAGGCGACGCTCTGCCCGCCATCATTTAAATCTATATTAACATAGCTTCCCAGATAGTCTCAATGTCCTAGTACGTTATTAAGACGTCTGGCAAAAGCCATAATTCAGACGTATTAATGTGAGAGCTCAAAGACGTTTTTAAGACGTCTTGCCAAATCCATATATTAATGTGAAAGCTCAAAGACAAAGACAAACGTCTTTCAGGCGGACGGAAACTTGTATACGGTTTACATACATCAAATTTAACAAGAAGAATCAAAGTGAAGTTTGACGTTTGGTTTAACACTACTACTATATAAGATTTAATTCAGATATTCGTCAATTATCATTTTTGTTTTGTTTTATGGAGATTTCGAGAACTATTAATATCAAAGCCCCCTATTAGATAGCCATTTTGAATGAAATTAAAGTAAAATTGTCAAAGTAGGCGATTAAGTATAATAGCTCATCTTGCCTCAAATGATTTTTGATAAAAATTAATTGATTTAAAATTCTAAGAAATTTATTTTTTGTTTTGTTTTATAGATAATTGTTCTTTCGGTTTTTACTAACTTTTGTAAAGTATAACTTCCTGTGACTAGAATGTTCTTTCTTAAATTTTTTTTAGGAGCGACTACATAAAGGCCACTGCAAATCAAAAAGAAAAATCAATCCAGTTACGGCTAAAGAGGAGTGATCGAATGCGCTACAAAGAAAATAACTCTTGGTGACTTTTGAATAATAGATATTTTATCAATAAATATTTTTAATTCTATCTTTTGCATTCTTTATGTAGTGATAAATCCAATCATTCCCTAAGTGTTCTACATCTCCCAGGCCTATGTATCGCACAGGTCTTTTCAAAGTTTATTGTTCCTACAGTTCATAAATTAGTCAAGGGCCGAAAGACGGTCCTAATTTTTTTATGGCGCGGATGCACCGATAAAAACCTGTATATCGGTCAAACAGCGACATCCGTAAAATGTAATTTTTTATGACAGTCGCCTAAAAACAATACTTGACAGTTTTCATTTTTTTTTTAATTCTTGTTAAAATTTTAAAAGGATTTCACCAGAAGAAAAATATCACTTACAGAAAATAGGACAAATTGTACCATAAATATTTCACCTAGTAAAAATTAAGATAAGTATTTGTTCGTTTAGGTTTAAAAATAAAAGTTTCTAACATACATATTATAGCTGTTATCTTGTTTTTGTTTTCAGAGAGGTGTAATGAAAAATATCGTTCATTACACATCCATAAATGCTTTTCGCGTACTTGCATGAATTATCACGCTCGCACGGGAAAAGCGTATTTTCTGGACTCGTAATGAAAATATCCTATTGCGAAATATACTTACCAATACAAAATTCAAGAAAAACCAGGAATTACTCGCGGTTTCAAGGAAGTATAAGTATTCAGAGGGAGAAAATTATTCCCAAAACTTTATTAGGAGCTGTATTGTTTGTATTATTTTTAATACTTTTAAATGAATATAATCTTAAAAATAATAGAAATAAAATGTAAATGAATACCTAACTAAACTTTATTTTTATTTGTTGTTTTACAGAGTTGATTACTAAACGATTATTTAACTAAAATTTTATTTACTTTAGGAATATATTTTAAGATCTAAAATCACTTAAACGAAATAAAAAAAAAACTTTATTTGGCACCCAAATTACGTCATCGCTAATACACATTACACAGGTGTGTAACCAAAAAACGGCATAGGATTTCTACTTTTTTTTATAGATTTTCCTCACTGAATCCAGGAAAAAGATTTAAAAAATCCATCATTGTCAGGTTTTCTTGCAAAACTCTATTGAAACTCCTTTACATACTGTTTTACCGAAAACTTGGAAACCTATGGTGAGGAGCAAAGTGAAAAATTTTTCCAGGATGTCCGTGATTTCGGGAGACAACACCAAGAAAAAGGGATGTCAACGTACTAGCTGATTACTGGATGCTCAGGGGGTCAATTCTCGACTTGTAGGAACCTTTTCTTATAGGAATTTGTGACACTTTCCTATATGTAGAAAAATGTCATAAATTTCCGATGTGTAGAAAAATGTCAAAAATTCCTATAGGAAAAAATTCCTACGAGTCGACAATCGACCCCCAGGAGGGAAACATAAGATAGGAAGCAAGAGCGTGTTTAGAGAAGCAGCAAAAAGAAGAAAAAAAGGTTTCTCGGACAGCAATTGTAAACAAATGTAGTGTTAAATATGCCATGAAGGAATAGCTTTTTCAAATATAAGAAAAATTATGCATAGTTAATTCTAATAAAAATAGTTTTTTCATCGCCGCTGTGCTTTTTTAATGAAAACTCCACATGATTTGCAAAAAACTGTACGTGATGGATCTCGTTTTTGGATTTAGTAACCCGATTCAGGAACTGGTGTAGCTGTTGATATAAAAAACTTCTAACCTCAATCACCAATTCATTATTTAAAGTTTACAAATTATCTGACTGTCAACAAACAGTTTGATAATCGTTTGTAGACGCTTCATGAACACGAAATTTTTAGTTAGAGTTTGGAAATATTTCTGCTGAAATTACAAAACCAATGTGAGCCTGCTCCAAACGTTTGTAAACCGTTGAAAACTGCTGCTGAAACAAATCAATTGAAACAATTTGCTAATAATATTGTTTACTACAAGTTTAAGGTTCCTACTGGCAACAATCTTGATAGTTGAAAAAATATGTAATTACATGAAAATCGAGAGGTAACATGCAGGCCAAAATTTGTAGAACTAATTCTACGATAGAATCCAATTCTCGCAATTCCTTTAAAACTATATTTTAATTCCTCAACTATTTCCTTGACAATTCCTGTCAAATCCCAGAATTCCTCTTCTTAATTCCTTTATTTCTCTCAATTCACTACCCTTCCTATGCGGTTAACCCCTTAGTTGAAATCATATCCTCATAAATAAACTGAGGAGAAGGGAACATGGAAAATTAGAAAATATAACCTTTAGAAAGCAAGAACTTTACTTTTCAAAAAATGATAATAGTAATAGTATATTACACACCTAGGTGGGAAGAGTTTCATTCCTGTCGTGAGATTAGTTAGATCACCGAGACGCGAGGCGTCGATGTTAGCTATGATCTCGAGACAGGAATGAAAGTTCCTACCGAGGTTTGTATACTATTTTATTTACAACCATCATATTTCGATCAAAGTTAATAAATCTCTGTTTCGTTCTGAACATACCTAAAATATTACATTTAACGACAAATTACCAAGCGCGCGGTTTTCTCAGAATAATCAAGTAAATATATTGTTACTGTGATTATGGGGTAAACAACTGTCACCAATATAAATACTCGTAAATGTCAGATAAAGCCGGATATTAAATTCGCGAATAATAAATATCAATAAGTAGTTTGTTGTATTTTAGTTCATTGTTGTTTTTTGTTTGCCATTAAATAGGTAATATAAAATTTGTCAAAAAAATGTGTTTTTTTTTTTTAATATAAAACATATTCATCAAGAATAGATGAAATGAGGGCGGGAAGTAGAGGTGTGTAATGTGACACTTCCCAACCTTCAATGACGTTAGTAATGACAACATTACATATTTGGTTGTAAATAAAATAATTTCCTTACCTCTAGTGTCACCCATTCCGGGAGTATCGATAAGACGAATTTTAATTTTACCATCCCAAATAGGAAAAACATAAGTTTTTACATCTTGTGTGGCGGAATCGCCGACTTGAAGAAATTCATTCTTATCAGATTGGCCTGTATTAACGATGTGATTTTCATTGTATTTATCTTGAATTCCAAATTCAGTTGGAATCAGTACCAATAAATTATCTTTTTTTGCTTTTTTCATTTCACTGTAGGTAAGATAATTCGCAAATGCATTAATCAGAGTTGATTTTCCTACTCCGGTTCCACCCAATAGCAGGATATTAATATCGCTTTTTGGGGGCAATTTCATATCTTTAAATGCACTTTCTAGATTTTCGTTCGACATCTTTGGAGGTGGTTTCTGAAACAATGATTTAATGATTAATTATAATTATACTGGATAAAATGTTTATTGGTAAAGTAAAGAATTAATGCTTGGACAGGTTAAGTTTTTTAGATGTGTATATTTTGGTATATGTATACATTTTTGATAGTCCCATTTAAAAATTTATTTTTTTGCATATAAACAAATTTATCTCATGTATGTGCATGCTTTATAAAACATGAGAAACAGCTTCACAGTGTGTCCTGAACTATTATAGAAGTAATCGCCCTTACTGGGCACCCCTATGTGCTTCAGCAGGTATCCGAAATTAAATATCTTGGAATATATGTAGATAGTCATTTGAAATGGGAATTCCATATCAACTATACTATTAAAAAACTTCAAAGCATTCTGTACAAATTCAAATATTTAAAAAAATACCTTCCAGAAAAGCAGCTAATAACACTCTACTATGCTCTCGCAGAAAGTCATTTTAGGTATGGTATTATAGTTTGGGGAAATGCTTTAAGGTGCCATATACAGTCACTTGAAATATTACAAAAAAGATTTTTGAAAGTAATTTTTTCTCGGGAAAGACTGTATCCCAGTGACCTCTTATTTTCAGAAAGTAAAATATTGGATCTAAGGCAGTTGTATTTCTATTGTGTAGCTCAAAAATTTCACTTCAACTGTAAAAACAATAATGTACCTAACCACGATTACAATACACGTAATAAAAATTTACATGTTCTTCCACAATTAAGTAAATCTTTAAGTCAGAGATCCTTTGCTTATCTAGCACCCAAAATTTATAATCAATTTCCTGAAAGAATAAAAATAATTAGTAATAAAATAAAATATAAAAAAGAAGTTAAAAAACTCATGTATGAAATTCCTAGGAAACAAATTAATGAACTTATAGAATCAAAACTATCAAAAGTACTCACCTTAAATTTGCTATAGTTTTTTTTTTTATTGTATTCGACGTATCACCTTATATTTATCCCTTCCTTCATTTTTATTTCTATCTGCTATTTATGTATAATATTTTCTATTTAATTAAGAACTATGTCTTTTGCAGTTAGGATATCGTAGCTTATTACTGTAAGTTCTATTTCTTTTTTTCTTAATTATTTTTCTCGAAACAAGTGGGTAACCACTTATCGAGTACCTTTATTCAATAACAAAGTGTATTTCATTAATGTAATTAATTTTGATTAATTGAATAAATTATTATTACTAGGATAAAGCAGGGTTTATCTGTATTGTTTCACAGTACTGGTTAGATTTCACATGAGCGTTCAGTTTCTGTTATTGGTAACAAAAATAAGATAGGTAAATATGACAAAGAGTAACAAACGAGAAATAAAAAGGTTCTGTATTTACTAAATTGTTTTTTCCTGATTATAAAATGAATAAAATTGATGATTTACCTAATAAAATCATCAGGTAATATCAGAGATAACGAGGAGATGTAACTACTAACAAATATAGTGCGGTCCTGAATAAGACATATTCTAAGGGACACAGGCGGGTATAATATCCGCTGTTGTCGTATGCCTATTTCATTATTCTTGTTTTGTTTACAAAATTATTTACGTATATTAAAAAAGCTAAAATAATTCAACCTATTTTACTCCAACTAAACCCAAAAATGTTTGAATCATTACGTCATCTTAAAGGTATAAAACTCAATAAGTACAAAAACATACTTTCGAGATAATCCATTATTTAAAAATTTTTAATACAATTTATATCATATCTTTTTAATCTCCTATCTAATTCGATCGATATTTTTGTTATTAATTACATTGTGCTTTTTATGATTAGTTATAGCACATATTATGAGTTGTCTTAGTTTTTTTTTTGCAAAAATTAAAAATGTACTTGTTTACTTTTACTTCCGGGGAGACCACCAAAATAAATGTAATTAGTTAATAAAAGTGCAAGGGTACTAACAGAAAATGAGTTATATTTTAAACTTTTTATTCGTAAGAACTTTACAAAAGTGAATCTTATTCTAATTCTTCTTGTACATCAGGCTCCGGTAAACGGTCGACCGCAGTTATGGATACTGGTAAAGTTTCATACCAGTAATGGGTTTCTTCCGGTATTAAACCTTTGCGGCAGAGGTTTACGATGTCATCTTTCTTCTGCTTACTTATTATGAAACTTCGAGTATAAGCTGGTTTAAGTTCTGGTATGACAGAAATATTTTTTCGTAGTCGAGTTTTGCCGCGGATATCTATTCTCTTATACTCAGAAGTGTGGTCATACCTATAGTAGATAGTGTCTGGTGAATGTTTCTCAAACTTCAGACATTTGATTTTTAGCCATGATACGACGTCACCATTTTTATCGCAATTTCGATTCTTTATTAGATCTGAAGCTAAGGATTGCAAGTCTTTAAACTCTCCATATTTTAACTCCTTTACCTAGTATGGCACGTTTGGCTCAGCCTTATTTATTTTCTTTTGGCGGTAGGTATTTCTGCATGAACGTGCTCTCTTAAAGATATTGATCCAGTCGTTCATAATAAATGCAGATTCATTCTTTTTTGCATTTTCTATTGCCGAGTGCATGGAGTCGCACTCCATGTGTGAATGGCCGGACTTCAAAAACTTAAGTTCGATTTTACTAATATGGGTATAGTGCACTGCATACAGGAGAGCTGCCGCTACCTGTTGATTGCGGTTTTGTCCGGCACAAGTGTCACAGAATAGTGATATTTCAGTCACTGTAAGAGGCATCTTCTCAATGTATATAAGTAAAATAGAGCCTATTTCGTTGCTCCCTCTTTTTCCGTTAAGCTCGTTCCAACAAAAACAATAAGCATTTTTTCCAAAACCTTCATAGATTGTTAGGTTGTACACGCAAATTTTCCTTGCGTAGTAGAACTCTGATACAGCTGAATATGGAAGCTGTAACACACTTTGCAGGTCAAAATTTGCTGTTACAAATGATAAGTCATTCTGTGACCTAATTTTATCTTTTTGTTTGGCTTCATTACACTCATTTTTCCTAATTATGTGCATCGAATAATCTGCTTCCAGGTCCTTTTTTCCTTTATTATCAGCTAATTTGTACTTACTGCACGTCGCACATTGGTCCTTTTTGGGTTTAAAAAACGCCAGATTGTAATGTGTGCAAAATATGTTCCGATAAATGAATTCACTCACAGGTTGTTTATTTCTGTTTTTACACATTTCTGTGTATAGTTCATACATTTTAAGGATGGATAAACGACTGTCAATATACTTTTTTTTTTGAGCTTTGTCTTACAAAATGAGATTCCATAACGGGAAAACTCTCGATGTGCTCTTTTATTAAAGATATTTGCTCTGCTGATGGTGTTTCATTTCCTGGAGTTTTCCTACCTCGCCTGTCCACTCCTTGAAATGTTCCAGTGGGGTCTTTCCCTTTAAGAGCAGTTTCGATTGGGCCATTTGAAATGCAAAGGGTTTTTCGGAAAAAATTAGCACATGTTCTAAAACGCCCTTTTGGGTTTTCTAAATAATACATTTTTGAAACTGCACGAGCAGATGCACTATCTTTATCAACTTTTCTACGTTTTGGTTCGAGGGAGTGCACATTCTTGATGATAAAGTCTTTTTGCCGTTTATTATCTCCTACGCTCCAGTACGCTTTACAAATAATTGTACGATCATGCTCAGTGAAATTAGCACTACATTTAAACCTGCAGTTGATGCAATTTACCTGCTGTGGAAGCTTAGCCTTACAAAGTTTAGTTTTGTTCACATATGGTAAGCACATTGATCTTTTTTGTTTAGTTAAATTGGCTTTCCAATTGAATGGATTTCTTTTTGATCATCAGAATCAGAAATGTCGTTATCTTCTGTCATTTGATTGATCAGAAATATAGGGTATTGAATGGAGTCATCTGAAGAAAAATCTTCACTACTATTCGAGTAGTCTACCAGACAATTTTTGTTTCTCTCTGCACGTCTTTTTTTTATTGCAACCTTATCAGGATCCTTATTGCATTGTTTGCTGTGCTTCGTAAGATCTGAGAGTTCATCTGTTTGTTTTTCTATCTCCAAAGGACCATCAGAGTTATGTAAATATACCTGTAATTGGAAGAGAACATGCTAAACACATCTGCTACAGCAGTACTGAAAAAGTCAACTTACATTTTCTAATCCTATAAAGTCACGAGTCTCTCTATACGGTTCGCTGGGCCCATCATCTTGAAATAAATCAGCATTTTCTGCCGTGATCATAGTATTTATTCCCAGTTGTATACAGATATACCTATAATAATGGGTAATAAAAAAACTCGATAAAAACTTCTGGGTATGCATTCCGATTGATTATAAAAAACAGCACCTAAAAGAAAAGTTCTACTCACGTTTTATAGTTCTAACAGGTCAGAAGTCTCTCTAGATTGTGCGCTGGAATCATCAACATCATGGTCTAAATCAACATTTTCTGCCATTCTTATACCATTATCAATTGTATTATACACCTATAATAATAGTTAAATTCAAAAAACTAGGCGAACAATTGCTGATCATATTGATTATAAAATAAAATTTAATAAAAAATATGTTTAAAAACAAAAGCTTTTATGAAATTCACTAAAAAGTTGAAAGTAAGCCGCCTAAATACGGAAACAAGAACGCCAAAATGATAAAATTGAGGTTATAAAATAATATACTTACATGTCTGTGCTGAAGTTGCTCACGTTCGAATTGTTCCAAACCTTTCTTGAGTAGTAATTTTGATCTCTTAGTCATTTTTAGTTATTAATCATATTACACTTTAACACAAATCCACAAAAAGTTCAGTAAATGTAACGAACAAAAATGTATGTCAAACAGAGCGCCAAGTAACAACAAAAACACGTGCTTTAAGAATAAGTGCCAAATGCACCCTACTTATTTGCGCAGTCGCTACTGTCGGTGAAATAGGTAAATCTAAATAAGTACATTTTTATTTTTACTTCTCAGATATCGGTATGAATATTGTACTTGGTTACTTTTATTCCAAAATTACTATGAAACTACTGGAAATAT